GACCCTTGCTGAAACTGCCCTCCATTGTTGAACTGACCGTATTCCCGCTCCTGCTGCTGGGGCCGATACTGACCACCCGGCTGCTGTTGTGGTAGGACCTGTGTGCCTTGGGGTGTGGGTGGTTGCGAAGGTCCCGCTTGATGATGATATGGACCTTGAAGAGGGCCCTGAGCTGGATCCTGGGGCAGATCTTGAGGAGGACCACGCAGATCCGGCGAACCTTGAGGGTATTGACTAAGGCTCCGAGGGCGCCCTTGGTGCTGCCCTTGATGGGGCGCACCTTGCGAAGGAGTAACCTGCCCTTGCAAACCATGCTTCTGGTTGCCATTAGTTGGCGGCGCACCAACCAGGCCAGATGCAGTAAAAGTATTCTGGAACGACCCAGAAGATGCCAAAGTCCTTAAAGACCCAGCGGTAGACGGAGGAGGATATTGTTGCCCCTTCTGTGAAGGCTGTGCCCCCGGCAGTGCTCCATCCTGACCCTCCTTGTTATTACCCTGCATTCCGTTAGCGATACTAAGGGTTCATGATGGCCGGATATTGTATACCTTCTTCAGTCTGCCGAAAAACCCTCGGGCTTTGTCGACTACTGGGTTGGCATGCTGGCCACTAGACGTGCCAGGTGCTTGTGAGACCGGATTTGCTTTCGAGTCATCTCCCCCACCATGTTGTCCTTGAACTTGTGGAGCCCAGCCAGCATTAGGCGGAGAAGGTCGTACAACTTGTTGATGTTGTGGAGTATCATCGATGCTAGCCCGTCCCACTCCCATGAATGCTCTGCTGGTTGATTTCTTCAATCCTATTGCCGCGCCAGGCCGTTGCTCAACCTGAGTCTTGAGCAATTCTTCACCACCATTCTCTTCCATCATCCAAGTAATCCAATCATTTAATCCCGTCCCAGACTGTGCAATAGCCTGCGTTGCTTGGCCATAAGCAGAGATTCTATCTTCGAGCTCCGGTAATTTAGCAATGTCCCGGGGGTCCAAATATTGACCTATTCTCCCGAAATCGGTGTCACTTGGGGGGTGCTGATTCGGATGTGCGCCTTGAGCCGAACCCTGCGTACGTGATTTTTCCAATGCGATTGTGCCCGTTTCAGAAATGGCTGATCCCTCATCGTCATCTTTGGTACTGAAATCTACTACCTCAGGGGCTACTTCCTCTCCCTCCTCTTTGGGAGGCATAGGTGGCATAACCAAGACTCCAGAGGGCATCGGCATAGTATCCTTCAACATTAGTGTCTGGGGCCGCGAAAATTGATTCACCAGCTCCTTCGCAAAGTCACTCTGCATAGGGGTCCTCTCCCCATCGTCTTCCCCAATAGGTGACTCCGGGCGGGGAACTCTCGTAGGTCCACCAATTGCCTCCATGCCCTCACTATCGGGCCCAATAACACGGGCCGGCGCCGCAACATCTGCCCCCCCAATCTGGGCATCGGTCTGATCCTTCCCACCTTGCATTGGATTTTCCACCTCCGATCCAATGACTACCTCTGTTGCCTTTCCATTGAACTCAACATCATCCGGCGTCACAACGTCATCGGGCTTTTCAGACATTTCATCACCCTTGACCCTCCATATCCCATCATCACCAATTCCCCCGCCGGTACCGTTGGATCTGATAGAAAGCCCAGTCTGGGTGCGCGCAAGATAGTCCTTACGGGCAATCATCATCTCCATCAATTCGGAATCCGGGGTTTCCAATACCGACCCGGGAGTCGCTAGCGGTGAGTCAGCATGGAAATTATTCTCTGGGATGCGGACAGGCGGGAGTGCGATACCGGACTGGTCTAGAGTGGGAGGCTCGACAGTGGGATGTGATGGGGGATGTTGCGGGGAGGGGGGTCGCTGCTCCGAACCCAGTCCAGATGTTTGAGCAATAATCTCCAATTCCTGCTTCGCAACCTCGGGCTCCAGAATCGCACTGGGCCTACGAGGATTCTTCGGCTGTATCGGTGGAGGCGGGGGAGTCAGAACGCCTTCATCCGTCCAGTAGCTATCGTATAAACTTAGAACACCAATGCTCTCCCTGTTTGGATCGGAAGGTTGAAACTCTGATTGCGGCACGGGATCCACAAACCGCTGTGGTGGGGATGGGTGTTCCAAAACGGCCGGAGCTGGAAGCACAACTTGATCGGCATTATCAATGGAAGCTCCATTAGATGATGGTTGAGGCGATGCAGTCTGAGAACGTGGAGCAGGGGTGTTGGCCCGTACCAGCTCCCCTAGAAAGAGATCAAGATCATCCTTCTCTGGACTGCTTGCTACCGATTGGCCGCCGTTTCCTGCTGGCTGTGGCGAAATATCCAACCTTGAAGCCGGAGCCCCCGTATCAGGTACATTTGATGCCTCAGTTTCACGGTCCTGTGGACCGGCCGTGTCTGGAGTGACCTGATCCAACTCTACTTCTACCCCATCTGGGACAACAGACGGGACTATCGGAGTTGCGCTCCTCTCAGGGCCCATCGAATTCGCCGGCGGTGACGATCTATTCAAATCCATACTGAGCGCCAATGCTGGGCTCTCAAGTCTCGCTGTCGGACCTGGGGGGGTCAATGAATTTGGTCGGGGGGTCGGGCTACTAAGGGTTGGCGGCGATGGCGACTTGGGTGGAGGAGGAGAAGGGAAATTAGCGGGCAGTGGTGGCGACTCGGGTGGGGGAACCAGTGCACTGGCAGCCGGGGGGGACAGGGATCTCGGCGGGACCGGGGTGCTAATTACTGGTGGTGATGGCGACTTGGGAAGAGGGATATCGCGTGATAATATAGGTGATATCATGTCTCCTGGAGAACCATTCAAGTTTTCCCTACGAGGAGAAATAGGTGTTGGTACCAAGGTATCTTGCCTAGTAAAAGCGTGATCCACCATTGACCTAAATCCCACACTTTCCATCCGTGGGCCCTGTACCGGATATGGTTTCTCGGGATCCGGGGTTGAATGGCTAGTCGGGTATACCGGTCCAACAGAAGCTTTATTACTGCTCGCCTGTGGGGACTGGTGGAGAGTGCCTGTGTGCTGGGGAAACCCCGTTTCTTCCGGTGAATTGGCGTATCCCGATATGATATCGTCGTTCCAAGACATCGCTTGCTCCTCTCTAATAATATTATCCTGACCAGTGGCCATAGGGCCCATCGGGTTTTGGAGGGGTCGGGCTGCCGGGACCGCAGGCGAACCAGGCACAGCCGGCAATGCACCAGTTGGCGGAGGGTAGGGGCTAGGAGTAGGCACCCTGCCTTGTCGAGAAGATGGACGAGAGCCATTTCTTGAATTCGGACGACTACCGGAACGGCTCCCGGGGCGCGAATCTTCGCCATTGCTCTGGCGGCTGCCCGGTCTGCCCAAGTTCTCCCTCAATTCTCGAACGCGCTCTGGGCTCTTAACACCCGGCGGTGGAAGCGAGTCAGCAGATTGGCGACCCATACTGCTAGCCCCGTCAGAACGTGGCATGGAAGCAATACCGTCGTCCGGAGGGCCCATGCTGGCAATTTCTTCTTGTCTACCCTCTTCAACCCCCTCCCCTTTTGCTTGATTCATCCGGGCCATGATTTCTGCCGGGCGAATGAAGGGCCCCGCAGGCTCGGGCGAGGCTGACTGTGGTGGCGGTGGGACACTTGGCGGTGGAGACGCAGCTTCGCGCGGAGGGGAGGGGGAATCAGATGGGTACCGCTCTTGATAAGCATCCACACGCCCCACCCGCTGACCCTGAAAGTCGTTTTGATCATCATAAAGCCTCACCCCTCCCTCCGGACCGAGGGATGCTGGATCGTTTCCACTGGAATCAGTCATCACCTCCTGATCGGAGACTCCTAACCGTTTTGGTGGTGGCGGCGGTGGTGGTGGCGATGGCCAGGGGCTCCCCTCTGAGGCCTGGCCCCGTTGAGGAGGATGTTGATGATGCTCCGATTCCCCCCGCCCCACGAGAGGGGGCGATGGGGACGGAGCCAGGTGTGGTGAGGAATCTGCTCTAGCGATCTCAACCCCCGAGGTCGGAAGCGAATCTTTGCGGATGGGCAATGGTTTATCGGCATAAGGCTGTAGAGCTGGCGGCGGTCCAGAACCCATTCCAAGCGGCGGCGGCACCACATCTCTCCCCGGTGCGCTCGTTCCTCGAAGATGAGGGGGCGGTGAGGGAACCGCAGAGGTGCTCGGAGACGCTCCCAAAGGTGGGGGAATTCTATCCCTAACCGGTGGGTCCGGCCGTCGCCCCCGAGGATCAGCGAACTGTCCTGCCTGCACGCCCGGGGCAGATCCGTACGCCGGCAGAGGAGGTGTCCGAGCCGGGCCGGAGGCTATCGGCGTGGAATAAGGAAAGGCGGAAAGTTGAGGTTTGGGCTGCATTGGATACCGGTGCTTGGAGTGAGGCGGGGGGGATCGGGCACGCAATGCCCTCTCCCTCTGCTCCAATTCAAGCGGCGTGGGGGGTAAGGGCTGTGTGATCCCCACATCACTTGTCTCTATCCGAGGCACGGCGCTCCCGTTCCCTCGATCTCCAATTGAAGGGCCCACAACGTCATCGCCCCGGTCAAACGAATCACTCCTATGCAATGCCGGACCCTCACCACCCATGGGCGGTGGATCATAATGGTCGTCATCATCAAAATCGCTATCATCACCCCATCCGCCACCGCCATAGTCGACGGTTTTCGCCTCGACCCAGCGTCTGGATTTCGCTCGATTGACATTCGTCCTGAAGGTGGTCGGGGACAGCGAAGCCGCGGGCAGTCTGAGATGAGGTGAATTTCTGCAAGTCGAGGGATCCAGATTAGCTCAACGCACGCGAAGGGGAAACCGGGCACAGGCGAAGGGGATGACAAACATTGGGGAGCTCGTCTGGTCGAACGAAGTATTATAAGTGGTATTATTGCTAGACATCTCGTCCTGCTCGGGAGCTCTGGATGGAGCCCGGATGTGTGGGGTGGAAGGGAGGAAGGAAGGAAAGGTAACAAACAAACTGGAAGGGAAAGAGAGAAAGAAAGAAAAATCAATGGACGGCGAAGGCGAAATCTAGGGTCGGCGACGAATATGCTTCGTCACCCCTGCCGACACGCACGAGTGGGTGAGTGAAAAGAGATGCGGCTGAGAGGAGAGCGGAGGGAGCGCTGCGTCAGTTTCCAGACAAATGGGTCGATCAAAGTGAGTTGGGCGGATGCGTGGGGCAAACAAACCAAAGTTGCAGTGGATTCAGCGCTAAACGAGAGAAGAGAAGGGGATCAGTGGTCGATTATCCAGGGCCTCCTCCCTCCCTTCTTCCCCCCAATCAATAATAAGGAACAATAGAAATAGCCACAAGATGGAATGCAATTGGGCTTCAAGGGGGGGGGGATGGCACAGTACTGTACCGTACCGTACCGTGACAACTGCAGCAGGGTTGCCTGCAAATTTACTATGATGCCGTGCAGGAAGTCACCTCTTACAAGTGTTTCCTATTCCCACCGTACGGTACAGTATTTTGTGCTTGTATTCTCTCCTTCCCCCCTTCTCCTCTCGCTGTTCCTCCGGCTTCGATGATTTCAGTTCGAATCGTGAGCAATCACACAGGCTTTCGGGTAACGCGTGCAAGCTGAAGTCAAAGTGAAAAAGTGATTGAATTCTCCCTCACACACACGCACACACACACTCGCAAACGCACCACACAGCCCGTCAGTGCCTACGCTAGGGAAGTCGGACTGACGACGAGCAAGGGAGGAGGGTTGGAGAAGTGGAAATAATGGGAAGGAAAAAAAGAAAGAAAAAAAAAGGTAAGGAAGAGGAAAAGAGCTTGACGTCCAGGGAAGGGAGGGAGAGAGGGCAAGGATTCTCAAAGGGTGCTTCAGAGCCACGAGCACTCGAGGACCGGTACAGTGTGATGCAGCAAAGAAAAAAGCCTGATTCTGATTCATGGACTACCGAACCGAACACAAACCTTTACCGCAGTGAACACCCCCGCCCCGATGGCAGCTGGTTGGCGGTTTTTTCTGCGTTGTGACACCTCACTTGTGCTGTGGCGAGCTGTGGCGCCCGTGGCTTTCTGCCCTTGACTCGTACGATACGCCTTCTTTTCCAACCCGCCGGAAATTTGGATGCGGGACAGTGACGGGATTACGGTACTCAGTACTCGTACAGTACTGTAAGCCTCGTGGTCGCATGTAAAATTTCACCCGAAACCGTGTGTATCGGGGCGCATCCGAGATTTGATTGGCCACTGCGATCGTGGAGCGCAGGATCCCAGTACTGTACCGGTACGAGTATTCGATGGACTCCAGAAACCGCGGCGCTGATCGAGAGGAATTCACAAATACTCGAGCAGAGAGATCAACACCGTATGACAGCACTCATAGCACAGGGCAGGGCTGTAATAATTGTTTGCGGGAATGCACGAGACCGGTATGGTGTTCAGCGCCCTTCCAGAACGAGCTGTGACGCGCGCGCGCCGTAGATCATAACTATGGAAGCTATCGGGGGCAGGATAATTCGGAACATGACATAAATGGACAAAGCACCGAAAAACCGCTAGCATACTCGCTCGTATCACCCCCCCGACCCCCGACCAATACGGTATATATAGCTCACTTGGAGTATGCTCCCGCTGCTTTGCTCGAGCATTCAACCGCTACAACCAAAAGCCTATCATGCTGCACAGTACCTCGAACGTGCTGTCGAATCTCCTCCACTGATTTCTCCCCTTCTGCCCATTTCAGGATTCAACTGCAGCGCAGATTCTGGCCGCTGCAGATAGAAGTGGGGTGCAGTACAGTACGGTGTCTGCCATCTCATCCACCAGTGCTAGTGATTCGGGTCAAGCCGCCGGTTAGAATATCTCGGAAACGAGAGTAGCGGATCGGGGCCATGGGACGGACTGCGAGCACGACAATCCACGAGTACAATTGCGAGCCCCGACATATAATAGGACGGGGTTTTCGTTCGCATACCGGTATCATGCGAGAATCATATCATCCGTACCGGTCTCATAAAATACCGAAATTCCGCACAGTGCAACCCTAATCCAAGAGTCCTTACCAGGCCCTCAACAATCCCAGCCAGCTGCATGAAAAACAAGTTCCACAAACCTCCACATGAACGGGGGGGGGGGGGGCGATGAGCAACCGCTGCCCCTGCAAGGTCCTTAGGTCTCGACAACAGCCATCTGGGCAACGCATCATGGCGCTAATCCTCGCAAGTGCATGCAAAGTGAGCACCCCAATTTGACCTTCCCGCACCGACGAACCCCACCCTATTGAATATGTCCAGCGGCTACCGCAAACTGACAACAGCCTTCAAAGCAAGGCAGGATATTATCCCGACAGCCCCGTATCGGATACGACTGCTCACCCGACGGGACAGCAAAATAACACTTTACCCGACCTCAACGTATCCCGAACCCGTCCCACCCCACTGCATTCGCGAAATAAAAATCGAGCATTCTTCCCCCCTCTCCCGAAATTGTATGGTGACCGCGGCGGGTTGTGCTTGTGCCTTTTGACCTGCGCTTGAAAAGCTAGCCGGAGGTGGTGTAGCGGGATCCGGTGTTGTGCTCCGGAAAAGCGCTGCCGGCAGCCCCGCATCGGGGACTGGGCAAGGTCTGTTGCCGGTGAGGTGGCTGAGCGTGACGATAACACCGGTAATGTACTTGTACAGTATGGTGAGTGCACAAGTTGCTCGTACCGGTACCGGTACAGTTACCGTGAGTGTGTATACCGGTAATCATGAATGGGAGAGGTGGGGGCCATAACGAGCTCTGCACTGCGCCTCTGACTTGGAAACCATCCTGCACCATACCTGTATCATACGGTACGGTACAAGTACTGCACTGTACCGGTACTCGCACTTGACAACTACGGTACGGTAGTGTTGTAGGCACTTTGTGAGGAGAATTTGCGCCATGGCGCAAGCCTCTACCTGTATATTGATGCGCCCCGCACGGCACTACACAGTGCCAAGGCAAGCCGGGTAGAAAATCAGACAGGAAATATATATGTGTGTGTACAGTATATAGAGGGACAAAAAGAGAAGAGAAGGGAGGGGGGGGGAAACACTTTGCAGGAAGTTATTATTATTATCTCCACGAGGGAAGGCGACCCTACTAGTACAGTACCGTAGAAACCACTGTTCTCCCCTCCCTCACAATTGAATTTGCCGATCGGTACCATTGACCGATCACACCAAGTCATGCTCTGGCATCTCATCCCGTTGTTGCTGTGCCGGGCCCGATGGCACTTCAAGTGCTGACGGCGCTACGGTGCGGTATAATACGGTAAATTATTGACAGCTCATATAGCAATCCGGATGCCTTGGCGCCAATAATACCTGCCTGTTCCGCGCCTAAATAGGCGAATCCTGGGGCGTCAAGGACCATCCCGAGGCTTTATTTATTTTACGAATCGCCAAGTGCAGTGCAGTACAGTACCGTACGTACAGCATGTGCCGGTAGTACGAGTACGAGTACAGTTGTAATAAGTCCATCGCGGTGAAAAGGGCACCGTTACCGGCACTCGCAGAACACGGTATTATATTATATCATGGCGGGATAAAATGCATTTTCGAATGACCTCTCCTGGTATAGTGTGTATATACCACGGTACTGTATGGCACGCACCCGTATCCGTTCCTCGTCCCGGCATTCCTCAGACCCGCAAGTGGAGAGAAATACGGTACTCTACTGTACTGTACTGCACCCGAGTGCGGTAGTTCGGTCTCAGGGTGTCAACTTGTCGGCCAAATTCTGTCGTATCGATGAGCACTAGCCATATTTCTCGTGTGTATGATACGGTACCGGTAGTAGTACTACCTACCTAACTGGGCCAAACCCAAGACGGGCTAAGGCGAGCGTGGCGAATTTAATCAACTTTCCGAGGCATGATAATATTATTCTTATGATATTTATATTATACAAGTGGCAGTACTCATGGGTACAAGCTTAATATTACACCGGGCAAGATTATCCTCATACAGGACAGGGGGGGGGGGGGAGCATTTCGCCGCTTGACTATCCCTGCCCTTCCCGTCCTTTCACGAAATCGACTCAACTTACCGGGTAGCCTACGGGACTACCATGATATGCCGCCAATTTAACGGGCGCAAAATACCATAGCAGATTATCGGCAGAGTAGCATTCGGGCAACGGGTTTCCTTCTTCTCATACTCTCTACTCGAACCGCTCCGTGCGCCGAAGCGTTTCCCACTCTGGCTTGGAGCGGATCGGTAGCGGTTTGAATTGTCACCCGCGCCGGCCTCAACGAGAAGCGCTTTGCTGCCGGCGTCCGTACTCCGCACGCCGGGTTGATCCTCGATTCCCGGGTCGCCGCGGGTGGCACAAGTCATCACTTTAAACTCGTCCGACAGACAAGCGATCGGGGTCTGCCCCCATCAGACAACCGTATCCGGCCCTTGACATACCGGCGGAAGAAATGGGGAGGAGGGCCATTCTGCGTATGCAGAAGGGGCGCGCTGCACTGTGCTGTACCGTACATTGCCTACGATACTCTATCGTTGGATGGCGCGTTCCCTAGGACGACTTAGGTGGAGGGGTGGGCGAGGCTTTCCTGATAAACCTCGTCACCTTAAATACCCTATTATTTCCTTCTCTGTTGTCGGGGGTAACGGGAACAAAAGGGGAAAAGTAGGAAATGGGCGCTATAATGGTTTTCCCTTAGTCATCTAAAGACATTCTGTACATCCTTTTCTCTCTTTTTTTTTTTTTCCTCCTGTCTCCTCACCTAACTTGAAACCCTGTCCTATCATCCACCCCCTTCCCCTCCTGTATTCAGCGGGGACGACCGCCTTTGATACCATAACCAACCTAGTCCTACCCCCGCTACCTGTCGGTCCGATCCAAACCATTGCGGTCCCTCCGCCCTACTGCCATCAAACCTTATCCCCCCATCCCCCTGCAAATCATTGGCATACCCACCCATCCATCGTCTGCTCCCTACCAGTACTTTCGTCATGTACCTATCCTGGTGTGGCGGGGGCGACTGGGCCACAAACGTTAAGGTTTCCGGCCACACGGGTGTGTATGCACCCCGCGGGGTCCCAAGTTATTCCGCTGCCCGTGACTTGACCAAGGACAGCAGAGCGCGGGAGTAAGGTTGGGTTCGGCACCGCCGGCGAGTTGGTCTGTCGCGCGACCCCCATAGTGGAGAGAGAAGTAGAGAAATACTAGAGGTGATGAAAGAGAAATGCGG